GGAAGGTTTGAGACTCAAGAGTGGGTCATTAATAGCAACAGTGGGACATTAATAGTTAGTGTAACTGACTGTTACGCACGCCGGGTCCGTTTCAAAGTCCATCTCTAAGGTCCCGGGTGCAATTTCCAGTCGGGTAAAGGCTAAAAAAGAGGCATTTTTATATTGTCTAATGATCTGGGTGTTATGGTGCTTTAGCTATTCGTCTTGGAATCTGAGCATGGTATATGATGTTGCCAAATATTTAAAAAAAATTCAATGTCAACGCTATAGAAGACACATATTAATTTAAAAGATATTATTTGCCAGATCTCACCCTTTTTACAATATTTATTCAACATCTGTATTTATTTTTTATTGAACAAATGTAAAAGCAAAAGATTGTAATCGATTGATGCCTACTTCTAGGACTTATTACCTCAGGAATAGAGCAGAAATGGTGTATCTACATATGTATGAATGCAATGCGGGTATAAGTATCACAATTTTGCACAAGCACAAGTAACCTAAATTTAAATATAAGTATATTTTTCACATAATTTTTAAATATACATTATAAATATCAATTACAGTATGTGATAATTTATAAAACACAGCAATGCTTCTACAAATAAATAATACTCTTGTTGTTTTATGTCTGTAGCTTCGATTTTGTTTGAATTATGAATAAATATCTCAGAATTGCATTGGTTAGCATTGTTGAAATATCAAAACTCTTTATAGAATACAATTTATGGCATCTTTTCAAAGCAAACTGTTCTTAACTGAAAATAAGTTAAATATTTTCCTGTTATACAGTTATTAAGAAGCCAATTAGTTGTAGAGTCGAAGAAACAAACCTTTACTTATTAAATTTATTTGCATAAACTAATCCGCTGCAATTCCATTCATTCTCAACTTAATTAAAATAACAATTTGATAGATCTGTCTGTCTATAAACTTTAAGGAAACCTTAATTGCCACTATAAGGAGCGGTTGTAAAAACAAACCGAGGCCAAAGGATAATGGAACGTCTTTATCTTAAAGATAAGGAGGAGGGAACCGTTGAAATGGGAGCTCAGAAGGCAAAAACTCTTAATGAAGAAATGGCAAAGTAATTTGAATTTGTTACGGCGCCATCTGTTAAATGCACTTCATTAAAAACGTGCTAACTCTTCGAGAGCTGAACGCCGAATGACACGGAACGCATTCGAAATTCAAATTACGCCGATCTTTTTGAATTTCGAATAACTGGTGCGGATTTTGTGGGCAGAGACAAAAGGCACTATAGCGTTGTCTTTTTTATTGTCGTTGGATTCTTTATGTGCTGTGTACGCTGAGATATTTTTTTTAATTCATATCTTCATTGCGTGGAAAAGTAATTCCTTTCTTTGTGATGCAAATTTATAAGCGTTTAGAGATTTCACAGATAAAACGATTATGAATGGACAATTTTCATGGAAATATCGAACGTACGTAGTTTCATTCTTTATTTTTTGGTAAATAAAGTTATTATTATTATTTATTTATTATTTATTCCGTTAAAAAGAATCTTTACCTAAAATAGCTCATAATAGACTTAGTTTGTTTATAATTATATTGCTTTGAAAAGAATAATTTTCTTCACCTTTTACATCTATCTTAAAAAAATAATTTTACATTAATTTTAATGAAATAAATTAGAGTAACTTGCCTTGACTTCAATAAATTTTGGATATGATTGTTGATTATGAACAGTAAATTGGTCCGTGTAAATTGGAACCTGTAAAGGGTCCAAAACGTCAATAAAACAAAGTAAAAATGCGATAAAATCGTTTAAAAGTGGTTCCATTTATGGATAGTGCTCGTGATAATGTAAGACATCAATATGATCAGTGTATTGATGTGTCCAATGTTGCTGGACCACGGGCTTTCTTTTTAGAGACAAATACATAGAATACAAGATGTGAAAATGTTGCGGTTTGCTAGGTACTAACAACTGAATATGTAGCTGAAATCGAAGTGCCTTTGAAGCACATTTTGAACACCACTGGTTGTAAAATTAATAGATTTGCTATCGTTTTGCTTAAAATGTAAACACAATATTAGATAGCACAATTTTGTTTGTGCTAATTATATTTATGTACCCTAAATGCAGATGGCGTTCACCAGCCGATGTCACACACACTGGCCCGGTTCGTCTTTTGTTATGGTCACAGTTCTAACCTAACCTAACCTATTTATTAAGTTCTATTATATCTAGTTACCATTTTGTGGAATATAATTATGGAAGAAAAATGCCTAAAAGATAATTATACCAAAATAATTATACTGTACGTCAAAAAAAAATGCTAAGAATTGGTTAAAGAGTTTATAGGAATAAGAATATTAAGGATACATTAAGGAAATATTTCCAGTTAATATGAAATGAACTCGTTGCCAGGTCCAGTTTATTATTAATCGAGAAAGAGCGTGTAATTAATCGGGATTTGGGGTTGTAAATCGGGACAGACAAAAAACAAGTACTTTTTTATAATTAAAGGTTTAAAATATAAACCTTAACACAGAATACAATAAACTTATATTAATTTACGTACATTTGACCTTGAAAGAAAGAACAGAAGTACCTATACAATAGCTTCTGTTCTAATATAATCACACTGACTCGGAAAAAACTGAAAATACATTTTAGTAATTTTAAGGATTGACAAAGATGTTATTGCGACAAAAAAAATGTGAGCTAATTCTACATGAGTTCATAAATAAAAAATATTATATGTGGTATCTTTCAAAGGAAGGACAGAAGTATCAGATAGCTTATATACGAATATACTCATATTGACCGTAAAAAGACTAAAAATACACATTTTACTAATTTTAGGGATTGACAAAAAAATATTGCGTTAAAAAAATGTGAACTAATTCGAAATAATAATAATGAGACTTGATTGGCTAGTTCACAAATAAAAAAATATTTATTTATTTGTGAACTAGTCAATCAGGTCTGTCGCTCGCTTTTATGTAAAAAAAATGTGTCTGATATAAAAACGAAAATATTTAATACTTACGCAAATATGTATTTTGAAATAAAAAAATAAAAGCTTGTTTTAAAAAGGTTTTTTTTTTCTTTGATTTTATTATTAACTTTTTTTCCATTGAAATAAAATCCGTCTCATTTTCATTTGGTACCTATGTTGGGTTGGTTGAACAAAAATATGTACCAGATACGCCATTTTGTACAGGCGACCATCTTGGATTTGAGTTTTTTTTTAAATGTGTTGTATTCTACAAGTTAAGCCCTTTCATTTAATCGCATTATTGGGTGGGTTATCTTCAAATATGTACGCCGCCATTTTGTTTAGGGGGCCATATTGGATTGACAACAAAATTAAATTTAAAATTAAATATATGATTCAACATTAATTAGTAATTTAAACAAAACCTTAATAAATAACTGATATATTAATCTTCTTCATGACATACCAATAAGTACTAGATTGGTAGCTGTTTTGCTTTCAGACATAAATAAATATAGTTATAATAAATATAGGGGGCTTTCAAAAATGGATTTGATAGTACGAAAAAAAATTAAAAAAAAAATGCTTGGTTTTTCGGGACATTTAGGGTCCCGATTAGGTACAAATCGGGACGCGTCCCCGGGCCCCTGAAAATCATTAGTTATAAGATAGGTGACCAAAAATCCGTGTACTTTGTTACGAATTTTTTTAGGTCAGTAAAATTTTTCGAATTGTTTCTTTTTTAGCATAGTTAACCAGCGAAACTTAGGCGTTTATAGTTTACAGATAAGGCGAGGTTATACGAAATTAACACTTTTTAAATTAATTTTATTCTAAGGTTATGCTAATATTTTGCAAATAAAAAAATGTTTTATGAAAACTAAACATATGATCGATTGTTTAAAAGATAAATTTCAATAATTGACTTTATAGAGAAAAAATAGCAAAGAGGACTCTAAACAGGTTTTTGGATTAATTTTACGACTGAACTATATAAAAATGTATATACAAAAAGAGGTTTCAATAATCTAAAATATACAAATTTTTTTATAACCGTATTTGCTCTTTTTCTGTGAATAAAACAATGAATGAAATCAAGCGAGAGCGTCTTTACACTCGATGCGTATTTGTATGGGAACGTCAAATGATATACCGTTATTATTTGCTTTACCGGTACTTTAATATCATAATATTCTTAATGAAGAATCCTTAAAAATCTCATCTCATCAGAGTAACAGGGACAAAGTGGATTTTTAAGCATATTTATTAAGGATATGTTTTCTATACATTAAACAATTTCTAAGATTATGATATGCGATTTTAGCGACGGGCGCCTTGCGCTAGGCATTCGGGTAATAAGACAAGTCATTGATATATGTCAATGGATAAAAAAAGAAATGTTTAATCCAAAAGATCATTTATTGACATCTATGCGTTATTTATTCATACAGTACTAAATGACATTTCAATGGCTGTCTTGTTTATTGTTGTATTTGCCTAACAGACAGAAACATATACTAATATTGAAACAAGTATTTATACTTAAAAACGCATAAATATATGTCACCTTTTTAATAATTTAAATAGAAAATGCCTCATCTTACGAATCGCCAAAACAAATTAGTTCAATTCTAAATATACTTTTTTTATATCGTACAATGACACATACATTGTAACACAAATGCCTAGCCCAAGGCTCCTCATAACACATTTCATACTTCTATCCATTGCTTAATTAATATCATTAGGTGGTTCCTAGCTATTAGTCAAATGCATTTTCACCTTCAGCGATTTCTGAAAATTAAGTAAATCTACCTTAAATGTTTTAGGTATATTTCTAATGTTAATAAATTTGATAATATTATCGATAAAATATTGTAAAAATGATCTCAAGCATATTTATTAGAAATACTTAGATTATTAGAGGTATATATTAGAGGTATATAAAATACTGCATGGACATTACGACATCAAAAATTTCGACAAGCAGTTATTTCAATATTCCCATAACACTCACTTGAGAGGACATCATCTAAAGTTGACAAAGAGGGCGTCGTCTATAAATCCACATAAGCACTTTTTTAGTAACAGAGTGGTAGAAGCTTGGTACAGATTACCGACAGATGTAGTTTCAGCACAGACTACAAACAAATTTAAAAATAGATTTGACAAATTCATGCAACAGGAAGAATGAAATATCACGCAAAAAAGATATCGGGATAGAGGCCACATCAGTTGTTGCAACTGTCTGCCTGTCTTTGATAATAATAATAATAATAAAATATTTTATTTCCTGTTTAGGTAAATTGTTTGAAATTTGGTGGTAATTACTCTGTAGTGAGAAATTTATTCGTCTATGATAACTCTCTAGCTCAATTCTTTAGAGCAGTCACTTGTATCGTGAAAGGTCACAGTGTCGAATTACTTCTCGATTACCTGAAAATGTATTTTTTAAAAGTATTTTACAGTAAGAATTAAATAATACTTACATAGATCCTGGTGGCTATCCTTTTGACATTTGCTTAGCCTTTACAATGCTTTATAACGAAAGCGTCGGCCAAAGAGGTTATGTAGCTTGTCATTATAGTTTTACATAAATATATGAATTAATAGCCTTAATTAGAGTCAAAGTTTGTATAAGATAGAAATTGCTAAATATAAATAATTTACTAATCTGAAGCCATGTTAATTACTACAATTAACTTCCTCCTACTTACCTATTTCGTATAAGACAACGTTTTGTCTATGGACTGATAATAACCTCAAAAAAGTTTCACGAGCCCTGCTCCTCCCACCCCTCAGTTAATAGGAATGATAAACATTTTACGCACACTCGCAACGCGGATGAATCGAAATGGGCTTATATACGCTTTGTGGGTCATAAAAATTCCTTGTGCGTCTTTATAATAATTTTAGGTAGGTGAAAACTTTCTTACACCGACGCCAGAGTCTGGCGAAATTGAGTGATACTTCTATAAAATGGGGGTTTAGGTAATTAAGTAAAATTGTGACTGAAAGATTACTGGAATATAACTTTTTAACCTGTATCACTAAAGGGTATGTTAAAAAAAATTGGAAAATAAAATTTTCATTGCATCCGGGGCCCGTTCTATGAAACGTGTGTAATCTAAGATAATTTTGTTTAGCCAAGCCTTAATACAACTTGTTTCTTTAATTTTAGTTCGTTTTTGGCAGTCATGTTCTTTCTATTTTCCATTTTTTTTATTCGATTATCCGTTAAGTCATTCCAAAGTTGTGATGAAATAAGAAACTCACATACGTACATACATAAATAACATTAAACTCAATACACTCCTTTTTTGGTCAATCATGAAAAAGGTGAGTAGCTCGGTGGCGTAGAGGATAAGCGCCGCAGCCCGTGATCGTAGTCGTTAAGCAACTTTCGCAAGGGTCGGTCACGGGATGGGTGACCAAAAAATTATTATCTCGAGCTACTGCGTGCTTCGGAAGGCACGTTAAGCTGTTGGTCCCGGCTGCATTTGCAGTCGTTAATACCCTCCAATCCTCATTGGGCCAGCGTGGAAGGTCATGGCCCATCCTCCTTAACTATCCATAAGGAAGGCCTGAGCTCCTGCAGTGGGGACGTAAAAGGGCTGGTGATGATTATGATGATGATGATGAAAAATGTAACATTTAAAACATAACATTTAATGTAACATAACTTGCTGTAAGGCAGACTTCAAGTCCAATGGTTTTACTTACACGCCCGTTTCATAAGTACCCTCCCTTGATCCGATTTCAGCATAAGAGCTATAATCTCATTAGAATGCTTTAGCTGTGACACCGGTATTGGCTTCGATTTCCAAACTAAACGCCGACGATGCTTCCAAGAAACTGCTTTGGCGGCTAGTTTTGGAATCTTTTTAGGGTTCCGTGCCCATACAGTAAAACGGGTTACCCGTTTACTAAGACTTCGCTCTCTTTTTGTCACCAGGCTGTATATCATGAATCATGAAAGTTAAACCGATGAAATTTTCACAGATGATTTATCTCTGTTGCCGTTTCAACAACAAATACTAAAAACTATTAGAATAAAATAAATATTTAAGGGTTCTCCCAAACAACAAACGTAATTTTTTGTCGCTTGCTTTTGCTCGATATTAATAAGACAATAGGTAGAAGCTTATATCATTTACAGAATATATATTTTTATAGTAATTTTAAAAATCGCTGTTTTTTCTCTAGTACTTTATTTATTTCGAGACTACCTGTTTTTAATACTAATTTATTACTCCACCGCATGCTTAAGTTTATCACATGGTTCATATAAAACAACCTCTTAAATTACCCTATATACTGATGAAACCACAAAAATTCTTACAGAAAGGGGAAAGCGACTTCATTTTGAACCATAATCAAGAAGTATACACATTAGTTTTCTGATTTTTTGGGTTCAAAAGAACTTTAACTATAGCTAGGGATGTCAATAGTGTTTAAGATATTATTTATATACTTTATAGTATAAAAAAAAAAACAAAAGAAGATCTCGATGGCGCAGTGGTTAGTGCGCTCGATCTGCAATAAGGTTGTTAAGCAACTTTTGCACAGTTCAGTCAGGGAATGGGTGACCAAAAATTGATTATTTCGAGCTCTTGCGTGCTTCGGATGGCACGTTAAGCCGTTGGTTCCGGCTGATCATTAACACCCACCAATTCACATTGGGTCCGGGTTATGGGCCATTCTCCCTATTGGGTTTGATTCGATTCCATCCAGCGAAGACTTGAGTCCCAGCAATGAAAACATTAATCAGCTGATGGTGATCATGAGGATAAAAAACAAACACGTACGTAGGCCAAAGTTTCGTTTTTATTTAGAAAAAGTATTATGTACAATTTAACTACATTTACAAGTATCAGTTTGCATTTTTATACATCGCACCGCTATAATTAACATTTCTTTCCGCGAAAACATACTCTCCATCTATAATCTAAAGGTCACAAATTGAAAAGCTTTACACTTCAAATATTACATGTATTTTACATTAACACTCTTAACAACTTTATAGTAGCGATAGATATTTACAAAAACATTTTTTTTAAAATCTATGTATCACAGAAAAAAATAATTACATTTCTAGTATAAATTTTTATTAATAATAAGATGATACCGAGATATGACGAATCTCTCACACGTTCATTTTCTTATATATAAAGTTTAAATTTTACTAACATAACAATATGTGTCAATCCAAACTACTTTTATACAAAAGGAATTGTATATTGATTCTAGACTGATTCTTTTTTAATTTCTGTGAACATTCAATTTTTCAACTTTAAAAGTATTTGTAATTTATAAATGATTTGATTTATATATATTTATTATTCATTATGATATATTACGTGGTAATAGCTTTGGGCGTGTGAAAATTTATTTGGATGGACACATATATTTGAAATTCATCATGAACATGTAAAAATGTAAGAAACGTCAAAATATATACAATAATATGAGAACTATTTTGATATTGATATAATGTTTCTTAATTGACTTCCAAATACTTTATCATAATGAAAATCACATTAGACGTTTTATTTATTTATTTAAGTTACTAAAGACGGATGAAGTTATTTTAAGCAATATTTAAATTTTAATATACATATAAGTATTTTAAAATTATTAACAAGCATTTTCATAATCTTGATGCCTTATGTATATTTTGAAAAGTCGCAATATTGTAATTTGCGAACAAATTACGAATGTTGTTAACTGAAAAAAAAATGATAGGAGATTGATAGGAGGAAAAATGATAGATTTATTTTTTGTCTGTCCGTCTGGTAGATTATTTTAAAATATTAAACAATTATATTTTTGCGCTAAGCAAAATAATATAGCAAACAGACACTTAAAACACACAGAGAATATTATAATAGAGTCAATATAGTCACCAACATAATTCTTTCGACTACAATTATTAAAAGCGCTTGAATTAGGCTTTCGCTTGGAAAGGTGACTCATTTACAAATCATATGAAAATTGTGATATTTAACTTATTAAAAAAAAGCATTATATACTTATTAATTGTGCATTCGAATTGATATAATGATATCTAACTTAAGATATCTAAAAATCTCGAGAACCTTAGATGTTTGAATTTTGTCAATCTTTCAAAACAAATATTTTCAGTGACAAATCATTTTTATTTTGCTTAAGGTGTAGCTTGATTTGACCGTAAAAAAGCTTATTATTTGAATGGCAAATAATGCATGTATTAATCTGTAAAACTGAATAAATAGATGTCATTGCCTGCAGTGCTTAAATCACAATAGTTATGCCACTTTCAATATAATAAATATTTTGTGAATTAGAAATCGCAGTAATAACAAAAAGAATTTCGATCGAAAAAATCAATTTATCTACATAGATAAATTTATAAATATGTAGGTTTTATATATATATATATAGTATCAATCGAAATATAAGCATTGCGCTTGTAATAACTCCTAACAACAGTACACTCCTAAATATTTATAAGTATTTTCAGAATTTCGCCTTTTACCAGTATTTTTTTAAGTTTGTCTTTGAAATAGTCAAAGAGACTGAAAACTATTCATTTTTCTCAATTTATTTTTGGAAATGCAAGCGTGCGTGTAACATTTTCGTGCGCTGGTTTTAGAATATTGTTTGGAACTTCAAAGAGTCTTCTTCAATATTATTGTATAAAAAATTCTCAGTAACTCGGCTTGATTCGAAAAAGTAATTTAACGATAGCAAGCAATCAAGACTCTGTTTACATTTCAATAAATTGGTGTCACGTAAAAATTAATATTGTTATATAGAAAATTTAATATAATATTACATTTTCTTGTAAAGTAACATAAAATCGATATCAAGGTTATATTCAATTTATGTGATATCACTTGTGTTATTCCCACGTTCAATGGCTATCATTAAATAGACATTATATTCTGTACGATAAATTGAATAATCGTTTATTATATTATACAAATAGAAGACAATTATACAAGGCGATTTTAAGCAATGTCTATTGTAGTAACAGTGATATTGTGTTCTTTTTTATCTTTTTTAATGTTCTTTTTTTATTAATGTTGATTTTTAAAGTACGGCACGTGTCTATCGCTGTCTAATAAATGTGTTTTCACTTCGACAATCGTGTTGGAATTTTTTTATTATATTATGTAGTTCATAAGATTTAGTATGAATTCCACTACTCAGCTCATCGGCAACTATAAAGAATAACTAATTTTTAAATAGCAATAAGGTTGTTGATTGAACCTCTAATGCTACGACAGCGCTATACTTGACGCTGTATGTGTATTTAACAGAACAGCACGGCTGATTTGTAACGCTTAAAAAATCTTGGACATTATTTTAAATACTGTATAGCTCCTGAGAGTTCCAAAACTTATTCTTTAAAACGATAGACTATTTTTAATATGAATATTGATAAAAAAAATGTATAATTGGTAAATTACAATCTTTAAGAACAAATAATAAGTGGTACCTTGAAATTAACACATGATATTGATGCTTTTGAAAAAAATATAAAACATTGCGAATTCAATTTGACATTCAAATTACTTAAAGTGATACAGTTTAGATTAAGTCTAATCAGTCTTAGATCGAAATTTTAACCGAATTTTCCTTTTTTTTTCTTTTCCTTTTAGTTGAGCATGATAGTGAGTATAATTTATTAATAATAATTATTTAACAAACAACTTTTTTCTAGTAGAAATAAAATGAATCTCTCTATGTAGAAATAAATTATTTTAAATTGACATTTGCGTTGAACGTAATGGAAGATCAGTGCTAGTAATGATATTATATTATTTTATTGACATTAAAAATGTATTATAGTTAATAAATTTTATACATTGTAGACAGATATGTACGAGATAAGAAAATGGCACGACAAATTAAAGCTTATTCAGTAATTCTAAAATTTATGAACCTTAATCGTTGGGTTAAGAAATTTTCTATTTGGAAATTGGGAATTTTTAACAATACCTACTATATTTATGTAATGTCTTAAAATAAAATTAAATATTTGATTCGTAAGTAAATAATATAAAATAGTAAGAACGAATTAACTATATACTTTTGTTTGTGATAATGATATTTTTCAAATATTAATATAAATAAATTTTATTTTATGCTTTATTTACCTTTAAAATAAATTGTTAATATTTGTTAGCATTTGTAACGTAAACATATAAATGTATTTAATCAACTTCTATTATTTCCAGTATTAATTAACTTTTTTTTTCATTTCAACTGGAAGCATACAAGGTATTATGAAAATTACCAATTCTTTGATACAGTTGCTACTCAAAAAGTAAATATTTATAGCCTTGATTATGTTCTTTAATAATCATAAAAGTATGGCTTGTTTATGCGAGAACGTTCCATCAATGTCAGTTAAAGTTAATATCGAAATGGACAAGGAAAGGAAGGTTTTACATCCAATTTTCATAATGTTAAGTCAACTTTTAAAAGTATAAAACTTATTGAGTAAACACATTATTGTTTGAAGACAATATCAATATTTCCTTACATCCCTTTTCAATAAATGTTCAGGAAAAATATTAAAAAACTTCTCTAATATAGTCTTATTAATAATTGTTGGAAATTGACAAATAATTACAATTATGACTCATAAAATTGACGAGTGCATATAAGTAGGTTTTTTCTAATTATATTTGTTATATAAGTTTCAAACTCTATTGCTACATAAGAACACTGAGTCGATACGAAAGCTACTTGGCTTATGGAAATTAAAGGTATAATTCCAGCAATATCGACGGCTGTTTATTTGTGTCACGGAGCAAATATAATATGCACACATAATTTAAAACTTCAGCTTAATATAAATCAATTACCTTATTATATTAATGATATCTTTACTGTAGTATATTTTTTTCGTCAAATCAATGTTTAAGATTTGTTTAAATAATTGATAATAAAAATAAACTTTTTCACATAAATCTGAAAATGTAGTATAAAAATCGGAACTTACAATTTAAACAGAAGTATCTATTTATTAACAGTCAAACTGTCGTCATTAATAATAATTATCAAATATTTTAACATCAGGATGCATTTGAATAAAAAGATATATGATAAGAAAGTATTTAAAAAACTTAAAAACTTACACGCTTATGTTTAAACCAGGCTTCCTCTTGATAACTTCAATTGAATATTACATAAATTCACATAACACTACAAAGTCACTCTCAAGTATCAAATTCATATAGTCAACTATAAAACACCACTAGTTCATATATTGTTTTTATTTTTAAAATTCACCTAATAAGCGTTATACATGTGTCGCTAGTGGTTGCTGATGTCCGTTTCCTGTGAAATAAAGATATAAATTAATTTTGAAATCGACACGCATATAGCATAAGAGAATAGCAGTAAGAGAAAAAGATTTGGAAACAAACAAAGTATAATGAGCAGGAGTCTGGAGTACCAGATTGGAACAAGAGCGAAGTTGTCTATGAGGAGAGGCACCCAAGTACTAAAAACTAGATTTAAGACACTCAGGTACGAACACCTGGATCGTATAGTACAGTGAAGAGAGTGTTTACCATTCTTGACTTCCGTATAGGCAACCAATTAAGTTGGTTACGAAATTCAGAGATATGATCGTATTTGCGTAGACTGAAAATGAATCGGATAGTGTTATTAAGAAGACTATACAAATTATCTTAACATATTGTGTGATATTAATTGTCATTTTTCAATCGGCAAAGTGTGACAGGTGCTAGTTCAAAGTGTCTCCTCCTTTATTCTATTTCGTCATACAATGTTATTTATCACCCTTCTTATACTGTCTCAGTTTCAGTGACTCTTACCGATCAATATAATGGGTTATTTATATTGGTCAGAAGGGCTATTGACGATTCATGTGCTTGGTTTTAATTGGTCGATCATTGGCCGTCATTAATTTGTAAACCAATAAAATGTAATACATCAAGTTTAGTTTTAAGCTTTAATGTATACTCGTAACCCTGTGTTGTTATGCGAACATATCAGCCATGTCTTCCCTACAAGTCCTATAGTTCTAGTACACACGGTGTAAGATACGTTTTCTTTTATTGTATGTTTGTCGTTTTTGTTTGCATTTCTTTTGATTTAAGTATAACGCAAAACTCAATTTATAAGAAATCATGCGAAAAAACTTGTCGGTTTTTTTTTCTAAATTATTTAGGCCGAAAAACTCTTTACTCCTTTAAATATTGCATGGCAATCATGTCAGTATTTGAACACGAGTTTCGTTATCGAATTTGCTTAGTCCAACTCGGTGTAATTCGATTTGCACGGTATCGGCGTCGCATTTTGTCTGATTGATTTACGCCTAGTCAAATTTGTGAAATTATATTTGACGCATTTTGTACGCGATATTACGTTGTATTTGCATAAACAAAATCTAACAAGATCTGTTAACGATGAACTCTGATCGACGGTTTCACTGATAAATATGTTTACCGTGATATTAAGTAAAGTTTTTTCTTACTTCTAACAGTGACTTTATTAATCCTAAAGCCAACACACAATTTTACTTTCAAAATCTACACATACCAGAATGGTGAAACAACTCGTGACTGCAGCTTTGGGTCCCTTGTACTGGGTCATGAATACAATGAGATTACCATAACCGAAGTACAATAGATACACAAATACTTAAAATAGATCTAGTAGTCTTGATTCTGCACAATTCTGTTAGAAACATTGGCGTTTTGATAAATCAATGATATAACGTAATGATATGAATATCATAATGACTTTGAATGTTAAAAAACTATATAATTATGTCAGAAAATACTTTTTAAAACATCACTGACCGATAAAAATATTAACGTTAACACATGTCGACAACAGCTTTGCCAGCCTCTTTTAGTCATGTGTTTTTATATTATTTAATTTGAATTTGATACGACTTTGTAGCTTAATGTTTAAGTGTGAGTTTCCCTTGCCGTACATCATGTGTTTTTTCATTATTCTAATATTATATCTCTTTCTCGCTAATGATCGCTTCATTTGATATTCACTAACACAGTCCAAGTTCTTGCTGTCAATAACAACACATTTGAGATATAGGGCTTGCTAGCTAGCACCACTCGCTACACATTATAAAGTTTCTTCTCATCCTGTTTTTGTTGAATACACCCTGCCTCCTAATATTACCTTTTTATTTTACATTTATACGTAATATAAATCTGTTCTATCCTAGTTATAATCTATAAAATATGCTTGTTATTAATAAACGTGACCTCACTACAAGTATCTGATATTATATCAACGCCACAAATAAAAATCTTACCTTTCTTTGTGACGGCAACGCTTGCAATTGTCCTGCTAGACGGTGCTAGTATATAATGTGCACTAGGTGACTGTGGTGTAGCCGATGACGTAGCGACTCCGACCTACGACAAAAGTGACACTTCATTAAAATTTTTTGTCAAAAATCATAAAGCTATTTTGGTTCTGTAGGCAAAAGAAACATGAATAATTCAGCCACACGACGTTTACATCTTTGGTGAATTCGAGGTATTTGACGCTTTGCTACCATTACTTTATTATCGCTTACACACGGTTCTCACACTTGCTTTAAATGTGGCGCACCACGCGACTTATTTATTTACTTATACTTAGTTGCATTCCATTAGAATCGGAAAAAGTGGACTAATAATACGAAACAGTATTTTCGTATGACTCTGTCTTTCAAATAGACGAATGACTTCTTGTACGGTATATGTATCATTTTTTAATACTATTTGTAGTCGTTCTCATGATTCTAAATCCACTGTGACTGTTGGAGTTATTGTCCATAAACTACGCAAAGGATTTCAATACGAATTTTAATGATGAAACTTTCTAGAATGATTACCCGTAAGAATTCGATCTTGCTAGTAGTAGTAAATATAATTGAAAACGATCAAATTACTGGAGATGTTACTCGCAATCATTGAAAATGGAAAGAGTTTATATCCATTCAGATAGTTATATATTTACCATTTTGCCAAATTAAAACATAATTAACTTTTCAAGAAATTAAGCAACTGTCGACGATTCATCAACGAATCCCTAAAAATATAGTGTGACTCACTTAAGTAATGGCGTGTCGGCAGGAGCGGTGCACGCGAAACTTCCATAAATTAATATAGATTGGGTTTATCAGAATCCCAGTGGGGTTGTTTTTAAAAGGAATAACTAATAAATTATATATCTGAATTTCCTAAAGGCTTATTACTATAATTAGCAAACGCTGAACGACCAAATCTATTTAACTCGACAGTTTCCAACAACTCCTTTGAAAACGAAAGTTTTTTTTTTAGATTTTTATAGATAATGCACAAGACCCTCCGTGCATGAGTCAAACTTGCCCGGGTTTTTTCAAAAATACATTTAAATGGAGAATTATTCATCGGGCGACAAAATAATATATGGATGACCATTAACTATATGTATACTTTAATACTTATCTGACAGCGTTAATAACTTATATCAACTTAATACTTATCTAACACAAGATAGAACAAGTATCTACACGGGAAATAATTTGCATTTTCCACCCGTTTCCGAAACCGAGTGAACTACCATCTCTGAGGTCCCGGGCTCGATTCCCGGTAGTAAATTAACTTTTCTATATTGTCTCGGGTCTTGGTGTTGTGGTTCCTTCGTTGTTACAGATACTCCATAATTCGGCGACATACTCATCTTGGAATCTGAGCAATGTATGTGATGTTGTCTAATATTTATTTTTTGGGCAGGTCTATGCCCCAGCAGAGAACGCTGAAAATCTAATGATGACGATGTAAAGGTGGATGCTCACTAGCAGATTTTCATTAAAATTAGCTTAATAATCCAATGCAGGCAAGTGTGCATACAGTACCCTCGGACAACGATGGCCCGGGTTACAGCTTGCATATCATGAAATTATAAATGTGTACTAACCGGTGGTTGAGTACTATCAGTAGACATAGTAGATGTCGTGATAGGACTTGTTGTACATTGTGGTGAGGCGAGACTAGTTGGTGACGTAATCGAATGTGATGACGTACCTGTTGAAAAGTGAATTTCTTAGTTAATGCCGTAGGTACATCGAGGCCACGGTTATGTGCTAATTTTAAAACAACATCAATTGAATCTTGTAGACATCCTATATAGTGACTTCTGTATTGCCATACAATTTATAGCATAAAGGTAGCAAAACAATTAACTTACGTATCTTTTTGGAGTTTGTTAAATTTCCAAAATATTGACAAAAATTCTCAAAATCGTTTTTATTAGTAAAAAGGAAAGTGGGTTATTTAAAGATAATTATCTGAAATATTTTAAACTCTTTGTAATTTAAATTTATTAGAAACCTTTAAATATTTTTGTAAGTTTCTTAATAATAAACCTACATAATGTAGTTAAAATAAAAGAACAAACAGCAAAATAAAAAAATAAGAAATATAGTAAAATCAGCTTACTTACCTAAAGGTAATATTACGGAACTCCTTACAGACGAGTATGGAGGTGGCGCTGGAGTGGATGCAGGCTTTGCTGTATTTACAGTTGCAAAACCTAATCCTCCCCCAGACCTCAAATGTGGGTTGCCGTAAGTGGCGGCGTATCGGACATCAACGCCATGTAAAATACCACCATTAGGTATTCGATTCACTAAAAATTAAATTTGGTTTACTAAAAACTACATAAATAAGTCCATTGAAAATGTGAACGATTTACAAAATGTATCTTGCATGTTGACGTTAAAACATAATCATAATTTTTGTAAAGTTATTTTTAAAGGGAATAAAAAATGGAATTCTCTGATATATCGAAATTTTAAAATATCTTATTTACCCTCAGTTGTTGGCAGGCCTAAATTATTCAAAGCATTGTTACTGTCCTGTCGCTTGGCGGAACGCTGTAGGGAGTTATTTTGGGAACCATTCCCTGGATTATATTTGACTGTAGATGATGTGTCTACACTTCTTGGTAGACTACCGTTAACTGACCTACAACGAATTTTAACTTTATTTCTGTCAAGTAGATATCCGTGATAAAACTTCAATAGTATTTATTTTAGTATTGAACTAATAAATATTTTTACTTACCTATTAGGCGTAAGTTTATCGCTACCTAAAGTAGGAGATTGAACTCTTAACGATCCAGGGGTGTAATCGTGGCCATAGTGGACATAAGTTTGATATCCATTGCCAAAACCGTTGACCTATTGAATAAGAAAAGGTTTATTAATTCAGTAAGATTTTCCACCTGAGTCATTAAACACAAGCGGGCCAAATATATTACCTTGTAGCAGTCCGCATAAGCTGGATCATTGTAATCGTTGCTGTATCTATAAGGTTGATAGGTATTGTTCTGGTTCATTGTAGACAACTGAACTGCCCCAGATAATGCCACTCCACTGCCGAGCTTTGCATTAGAACAAAGGGTACTGTCTGACCCGGTATTGGAATAGTCCTGAAAAGAATATAATTTTAATAAAGTTGCGACAGGGACTGATATTAACAGTTTTATTTTCATCTGCCGGCAGGAATATTGCAGCAGATGTAGTAATGTTCTACAAAAACTAACATTAGGTATTAAGGCACAATGAAACAAATTTCAGTGACAGTAACATTATATAACATATCAATAATCATTTTAACAAATAAATTTACATCCCGACACACAGAAAACACTAAAATCACTTCAAATTTTCAAACTGCTGCATCCATATTAACAATCTCATTTCTCAACAAGGTTCCCATTCATTTCAATAATCTCTTAAAAGGGAAAACGTGTCAACTCAAACCTCGATAATTTTTTTGTGAAAATATTCATTGGGACCATGTAAAAATTAATGTTAACGAAAGTCATTAACGAGCTAACAAATTGCTGGCGGTTTTAACATCGGCCATAAAACTTTACGTAAGCGAATTCAAAAATTATTATAAAAGGAAAATGAGACCTCATAAAGGCTCTTTGTTTTTTCCCCAAGCTAAATATTGTATTTGGGTGATGTTCTAAAGATTGGATTACTTTATGCTTTTATAGCTTTCTTTTTACTTACAATTTGAGATTAAAGATTGATTTTCAATATTTTGAGATAATGGAAACAATTAATTTTAAATAGACGTAATAATTATTCTTAAAAGATTTTTGGCGTCTCCAAAATCGTGGTACTTATCAATTTTCAAGTTAGGTAAATTAATTAAATGGATGAAAGATTTTTATTATTACAAGACTATAATATTACTTTAAAAAATTAAATGATTTCATAAATAAATAAACTTTTTTTATAAATTAGATTAAAAACCAGGCTAAACAATAAGCTATTTATCATTCCTGAAACACCCAAAGAACAATAACTACCAAAAGAACCCCTAGTTAAATGTCATGATAGATGGAATCAGTGGAGTTGAAAGCTATTGGTAACTTTCATCATTTAGATACGCTTCATTAAAATGTAAAGTAAATGTTGGGATCACTGTTTGTTGAAATTAATTTCCTCGAACACCGTAGAACGGGAAATTCTGAACATTAATAAAGCCGAGCATGTTCTATAGTTTATTAATTAAAATATATTACGGATATTGATTCAGCTGTTATTATTGAAATGGATATTCATGAGAGGTTTATTGATATTTTACTATCGATTTGTCTTCTTATTGGAATAGTTATTTGTTTTAATAATTCATCAGTAAACCTATCTATCTGAGATTTTATTCAATTTTATCTCGGAGACATGCAACTCTAGTAAAGTCTAGGTTAGGATTGACAATACAGTGTGAATAGAAAATTTGCAAACTACCTGCATAATTTCAAATGAGCAGTGAATAGATACATCTTTTGATGATATTTGTGTTGGAGTTAAATATATCTACAACCAATTATATCATTGAGAATACAAGGACCTTTGCAAAGGTAACACATTTGTACAATAAGCTTAAAACACTAAAGAGTCAGCACCAAAGCAAATTGCTAATGACTGACTCTTTAATTATACTATAGCAATTTAAATCAGAATGAACTTTTTCTAGGTTTCGATTTGTAATAAAGAGCGTCTTTTACTACTAACTAACACTAACGAAACCTATCTTTGGTAATGGGAAAAACTTTCGTGTTTTGATAATATTTGGAAATAATCCCACACACTTTCAGTAAACTAGTTTCTTTGCGTTCTTTTTAATTACATTTATAAATGCTATGAACTGTAAAGATTTATAGATATATTGTAAACTATTGAATGACTATCATATATAGAATACTTTTATATGCAAAAAAAGCAAAATCACTTACTATTTCACAGCTTCCGTTAGCTTGTCTCAATTCCAATTTCAAATCGCTTATGTTCGAATTCCTGTCGTTTTCTTTGAATAATTCTTCTGCAGTCACTGTAACATCTGGTTTCTCTGTCACTTGCTTGTTCTTTCTTTGCTTCCTTTGGCATAATATCACCATCATTATCAATGCGGCTACCAAAATAGTTCCTGATGTTACCCCAAACAAAATCAGCAGCAATGGAAATGTTTCTAAAATGAAATGGGGTTATTACATATTTTATAATACAAGTTTAGTTTTGAAATACCATCTGTATTTGGATACTAAGATATTAGATGTTATAACAGGTACCAAAGTTCTGTTATAATAATACGGAAAATAATCTTTTGTTTCATAAATAATAAGAAACGAGCATGAATTAAAGATATTAAAAAAAATATCTCAAAGTAAGAACTGAAAAAATACTAGTATAGGTGATTATTGAGTAAATAATAAGCATCACATACATAACTCAGATTCGAAGATGAGTAGCAAAAATAATATATGTAGTATTTTAGACAATGAAGATATCACAACACCCTGATCCGAGACAATATAGAAAATAAGATTTCTACATTGACCGACTGGGAACTTAACCCATGACCTCAGAGTTTGTGACAACTTAAAACAAGAATGCGAACCACTCGGCTATGGAGATCGTAGGGGTTTGAGACTAAAAAATAACTTCGTGGTTAGATTGATGCGTTCAGTGTTTTACGATGAAAACGTTAAATTTCTCATACAAAAAGGCTTTATGATCCAAAGGGGCTGACAAATGGTTTATACTTAAGTACTGCGTATAAAGTTAAAATGTCGATATATTTACTATAATGCGAGCTCGTTGCCACCATAATGGGGGTTCGACACAGTCTATGGGGTAATGGCTATACGGTTTGTGGTGTAGATGAAAAATTGTGGTTTTATGAAGGAGGTTTTATAAATAGCCAATGATATGGATTGTCGTAAATAATTTATTATGTCGTTAGGTTTTTTTAGTTGGTATTATGCATTGTAACTTATTATACAAATGAGTATTTTCACATTTTACATAAATGTTATTTGAAAGCATTCTGTTAAATTAGCAGAACATTATTTTAAACCCAGTGACGGGTAATAATAATTTTTAACATACCATTTTTGATCATGTAGCAGTTAATTCATGCATTCGTGCGAGCTTTTAAAGTTTATATTTTTTCTTATCAGTGTATTCAGGTCAACTTCAATAAAGCAGCATTACGCTACGAATTAGCCTTAACAAATGTTCATGAATAATTTATGAAGTTAAAAGGCCAGAAGGTTGATCTAGACAATAAACTTAGGCGTGAAATTCTATTAAAGAGAACATCGACAGAAGCTAGATTATCCAATTTATATGTAGTTTAAATAAATTATGAGACAACTAATACAATATATTAGGTAACAAATGAAATTTATTTGCCGTTTTTGAATTAGTAACTAATGTAATTAATAATGAAACAAGTCAGTAATAGTATGTGCTAAAAGAGGTTATGAATGAAATTGAAAAAACATGTTTATTGATTTGGATATTTGAGAATATTTAACAAATGAAGAATTATGAGAAGAATGCATTTGCAGAATATAGACATGGATGTGTAAGTTAAGTACGCAGACCAATATAACTTTAACATACAGGAAAAGTTTATAGGTCGTGCATAAAATTTAAAATTGTTCATTACGGTAAATTGTATTGGCGCTTTTTGTCTCTCTTTTTATAACATGCTTTCATACGAAATAAAAGTTTACATTACATACCTACTACTTCCAGTACGTTAATGAAAAATTGTTTCACTGCTATTAAAAGAAATATGAAAACATGAATAACTACCATAATCAAAATTAATTTTGAAATTTAAATTATTTAGTTTCAAAAGATATTTTTTTCTTCGGAATTTATATGTTCTATTTACGATCCTTAAAAAATAGGGAAAAAATTGTGAACTGAAAAAACCTATTTAGAATACGTGATTGTAGGAAAATCTAACTATAATAGGTTAGCAGAGATAGCTAGATTATGAGAGAAAAATAACATATACTTACTGTTAGGCTTTAAGGTGATTTTAAGAATATCGCTGCCATAATCGTTAGACACGTTGCATTTGTATGTGCCAAAATGTCTTGATTGACTCTCCCTAATAATCAAAGTAGAGTTGACGATACCACCTGCCTGTAGATCCTCGAGGAACGCATAATCCTTAACAAAATAAAATAAAGCTAGTTAGCCGATGTAACTGTACCATAGAAACTTTTTAAGTGCGATCTACGGTTAATACATTGTACTTCAACGCCATCTTGTAATGGTAACTTGTGGTATCTTGCCATTAACAATGTAATGTTAGCGTGGTGAGATAGATGTCGCTCTTGATTTTAAGCGGGGTATTGACTAGATGAGCACGCCTGCGGGCAAGTCTGTAGACATGTAAGGCGGCTTTGCTTTAATAGGTCTGTGTATGTTAGTTAATGTAAAATCGTCTCAGTCATTACACAAACCTAAAGTAGCGTGCGCAAGTCTGCAGACTTGCCAGCGCGTATATCCGTATAAGTAAACTTCCCGTTATATTCGATAGTTCTATTCATAGTCTAGTGTACAAATTTCACTATGGTTAGTATATATTGACTTTTGTACAGATAACGACTAGAATTATTGTATCATAAAAAGACATTAAGGTAATTGATATACGAATGTATAAATGGCCTTTTGAAAACATACATTTAGTATTCGTAGATATATCTGTAACTTTTTTTTGATCAATTAAGAGATAATTTGTTGTTTTCCATGAATGATGTCACACTAGGGTCAAGTTAGATTAAATAAAAAATGCTTAGTATTAAAGTATTTTATAATTTACTTATATGATAAATGACAACAACGAATATAAAATAAATTCATAAGTTTATTATTTTACGTATGTATAATGCATTTGCGATTGATTTTTTTACAATTAAATCGGTATTTTTATAAAAAAATTCTAGTTCTTATATTTGATAAATTTTGCATTCACAATACTATACTGAAATTATTCTTGCTGAAAAATGCTTAAAACAATCCACTTTGTCCCTAGCACTCTGAGATGGGAGTCGAACCGATGAGCTTCTGCAATCCTGACTACTCTGACTACTGAGCTACCCAGGACTTTTTTTTCGTTAACGCAGGGGAAATGCACCTCAAGCCTTAAACCAAGGCTCCTCTTCCATCCCGCCCTTAAAAGGGCAGGTTAATGTGGAAGCTCTACCTGGTAAAACCCACTGCGGTTCACCTCTAGCAAATGGATGAGTCCGGTATCCAGCAAGGAGGGCCCGGACCGAGCTACCCAGAACCTAACAGGACTGATGAATTTTTCAAGTACTTGATACTTTTTCGCTACTACAGAGCCTATTTTCATCTACCCAAACAGCCGATAGAAATATTTTTACAAATTTTTTAAACTTTCGATAAAGGTAAAAAAAAATTGTGGTAATTATTAGATTTGATCGATTTTACATTGACAGTGCTATACTGAAAAATATAACATACTTAATGGGTTGGAGTCCCATCTCAGAGTACTAGGGACAAAGTGTATTTTTAAGCATTTTTTGTAATTGGATTACTTTGAGACTTAAATCCATTCATGTTTCTCCGAATATGCAAGTACTGAACAAATATCAGCTTTTCTAAAATATCAGATACTTTTATTTGTTCGGCTCAATTAATTCAGCGCTATTGCAGAAAACCTTGTTCGCTTGGTCTAAATAGTCCCTTACTGTATACAATAGACAATATATCACAATTCTATATATGTTCTGTCATTATTACTAGTTCGGAGACAGTAAAGGAATTATATTTAAAAATAGACTTTTGTTCGGGTTTCAATTGGTTAATTATATATATTATAAAACAAGTGATTATTTTACAAAGAGACATTATCAGTTACAGTGTTAAAAAATCGGTAATCGGTAATTAATAAGTCCAGTAAAAGGGTTGATCAGATTTCAAGGTAGGTTTTTCAAGGTACTTTAAAATGAAAGGAATAGTTTAAATAAGAGAATTATTTTATTAAAGATCGTTGTAAAACTTTGAAGTCATTAGTACTATTATTTTCAATGAATCTAGAGAATTTCAAGTATCTATAAAAGAGGGACACTCAAAGCCAAGCAATTTACCCGCGGTGTTGAGTATCAAAAGACAGCTGAAGACAGTTTAGAATAGGGTTGTCGTCAAGCTACGAATGAAAATAATTATAAATTAATATGCGATTTATTCGAAATTATACGCGGTTTATTTAATAAAACACCGACTTCTCACAGTACTAGCCCATTAAACAAATATCAACATTCCTTCTACAATAAGTTACTTTTTATTTACATACAAAAAAAAAAAAAAAATTCCGCAAATGCGCGAGCTTAGCGCAATCATTTCGTTTATAACTACACATTGAAGAATAAACGTCGCAATGATACAATTAAGATAAAAACTTGTCATAGAATTAATTAATATTAAATCTTTTAGTTCAAACCTTTTTTTATAATGTTAGCTATTAATCCGTCTATATTGATAGTGTTTTATAAATTTATATATTATATTTCTTTTAAATTTTCACAAAGGTACTTTAATAAAAACCAGATATTTTTCCAATCACTCGATTAATAATTTTGTCATGTATATTTTGTGCTTTTACAATTTTTATTTTTAAACGGTATAATTATTTAAAAAGAAGCAAAATTAAATTGGACACATCAGTGACAACCCTAAAAACTACACCAAGTTGAAAACTATTTCTAGCTTCAGTTGAAAATAAGTTCTGTGACTTGCTTGCTATCTTGGAATTGGCAGGTAAATATAAGGGATTATCTCTAGTTAAATAATATTTGCAGTAAAGTTTAAGTTCAGAAAAAAAGAAGTAAGGATATGTCTTTTTTCGATTTATGAGTAATAATTTAGAGTACAATAAATACGAGAATAAATATACGCTCTTGAAATTGACTAATATGCATCCTTTACTTGTTTGTCACAAATTTGATCTTTGAAATTATAATATGCAGACTTTAGAAATTAAACTTTTAATAATTATAAAATTGCAACATTCATGCTGCCGTTCTCTATATTGTACTTAATAAAATGGAACATTTCTTTCCAAATAAGATTATGTACTGAAATTATTTTTTACTATTCTAATATTATTTACCAACCCTATTTGAGGACATTATTTGATGAGTATGAATATTCAGGTTTCTTGGTGCTATGTACTTAATCTGGAATTTTCTTAGTTATATTCTACTTCTATGAAAAAGCATTTCACATATTGCATATTGCTATTTCAGTCAATGAGAGATCTCTTTTCTCTTCAAAAGTGTTCAGAGCATAGTATTAAGATAGGTGATGCAATCGATATTTGAGTTCTATATCTGAATTCTATAAATATTACCTGATCGTGTATGGTGTCGATCTCTCTGCCTTCGAATGTCCATATGATGTTATCAATCCTTGGCACTGAGAACGCAGCACATTCAATATTCACTGTGTCTCCTTGGGATCCAAATTGAGTCGCATTAGACACAATTTTTGGTGGACCTGGAAGAAATAACTGGTGTAGTGTTTCAAGTTACAGCTTAACATTAATTTAACTCTATTGCTTTGGCATAGGACTTCCTTGTTAATATTATTACACAGGAAAAAATCATCGCAAACTACAACGTGGACCCAGAATGGAGAGTATAGCATTTCTAGTGTAAGACCCCGATCAAAGATCTAAAATTCTATCTGTTAAGTAGATTGACTAAATAAATGTTTAATATCTTATAGATGGAACAAATTACTTGGTTGCTGGTATGTTTAAGGTTTACTCGGTTAGTTTAGCGGTTCTACAGTATCTTCGCTCAATTGAGTTCTTCCAAAGATTCTCTGCTTTTTCTATAGCGTTTTTATTTTCAAGGAATTATTTACGTTTTATTTTTAAATTTGACCATTAGTACTAATATGATGTAGACAATTGTTTTGCACAAACAAAGAGATGGCAATCAAATACAATAAAATAATAACGTTAAATTAATTTGAATGCCAACATCATTTTCTCGGTTTTGGTAATTTGCAACGACCAGTCATCCACGAAAATTATATAGCAAATTGTTATACTTCTCTACCTAATCATATTTTTAGACGTAAGTTTATGACCACCGTCATTGCAACTTGCCCGAATCTTGGGAATATATGGGTAAGTGGACAAGCTTAGCTATTCGACAAATCGCGTGTAATATCCGTTCTTTACAATTTACTGAACATTTCAAAAGTTTTATTATATTGTACATTGTTCCGTACTTCTGAAGACATACTACGTTGTTTATTAAACAGCTACAACTGCAATCTTTAACATTAAAAAAAATCAGTACTCGTAGCGCATGGATCATGGAAAATTTCAAACTATACCTTTGGTGGGAATACGTAAAAACCAGACCATCTATCAACGATGGTGACGACCAATTAAAAATAGGTAGCTTTTCATTTGGAATCTAAACGTCAAATTAAAATTTTTATGTTTATGTTTAGTTTCCAAAAAAATTACCGATTAACAATAAGCGCCGTTATAGTGACACACATAATGTGTATTTTCCAAGCGTGTCTTTGATGTAAGTTCCTTTGTTACCGGTCGCTTTCGGCATCCCCTTTGAATAAGAGCATTAACGATAGTGTGGTATTCTTTTAGCGGATTAAGTTACCATAACTCCAAGAAGATGTGGTTTATATATTGAATTATAATATATGTAAATATAGTTTAAAAGAGATCCTTGGGCATTGGTATATACCTTCAGTCTATGACCGCCGATCATTGGATGTCAAGTAAGTTTTATTGCCTCAAGTCATGATCTTCTATAAAGAAATTGGTAGGGATATTCTATTTTTATGAATAAACTAATACTCTTTATTCCTTACGATATGCATGATACTGAAGACTTGTTTATCTTAGTGAATGGGCGTAAGGAACTTTTCACAACATTTAACTTAATCTCTGAATAGAATCTTATCTTTCTTGAGCCTTGAAACGTATCTAATTCATATTGTTTTAAACTACGTCTGTATACTACTTACCTCAGTATAATATGTCTTGATTAATCAATTAAGATTAATTAGATTGAATGAAAAGAAAATAACACTGATAAAATTTGTCTCAAATACTTTTTTGGTTACTATTGTTTACAAGCTGGTATTTAATGTTAAAAATATTACAGCAATTTTTTAAACTATTTTAATATAAAATACCATCAGCCATAACTGCAGTCTCATTGGTATTAAGTAATTATTTAATGGTATTTTTCTCTGATTGAAATCTACGTGTCGTTAGGGTACCATT